ACACCAGTTACAATGTATGTTTATTATATTGTGGTTTAAAGTTAAACTATTAAACTGACTCTGAGCAGTTTTGCAAAATATAGGAGATTATCCACTAAACAACAAACTATCTGCTGCTTACAGCAAAACTAAATTTGGATTTAATGTTTAAAAACAAAAAACAATGGTGTTAAAGGTCGCTTTCTAAATAACCTTTTTTTTTCTTAGCACAAAGATGATTGCCAGAATCCATGGGTATAGGATGGTGTTGGTGTTTGTTAACCCCTTTAAAACCATTTTAAAACCTGTCTATATTTAACTGATTATTTTAAATATTGCCAGTGTAGCTTTGATTAAGCACTGCTCGGTATTAATGTACAGTTCCCCTCCTGCCTCGAAATAAAAGCATGTATTAACTCCAGATTTTAATATTTATGTTTATAAAGTGGGGAACCCCATACTGTTACATCTTATTGCACTCACATTGTGTGGTTTTTGAACAGCTGATACAACTCTTGCGTGTTGGTCTGTTATTCCTTCAATCCTGTGTGTGACTATATTTAGACCATTGCATTTAGCTGTAGCGGGCAATGTGTCACTTTTTAAACTTTCTCTTGTTCGCCAAATCAAATATTGTGGTTCCATTCCTCCCCCCACCCCCTGTCTATTCTAAAGGAGTGATCTGTGTCAATACAGACATGCTAAGGAAGTGATTATTAATTGGGGGTGGAGCCAGTGGCGGATCCAGAGCCTGATCTCGGGAGGGGCACTTGTAGATTATTTAAAGAAATAATCCAGACACAATAACAACTACAGCTCAGTGTAGTGGTTATGGTGTCAATAGTGCCGGGACCCCCTCCCAGAGTAAGTAGTCAAACCGTTTAAGAACAGTTTGACAACTTACCTGAGGTCTGCTGGGAAATGGGGCAGTAGTAGGGCATAGGAGCAGTGGTGTGTGTGTGTGAGGGGGACAGTGTGTGCGCAGTGTGTGTGTGAGGGCGGCAGTGTATGTGTGGGACAGTATGTGTGTGTAACAGTTGCAGTGTGTGTGTGAGTATTGCAGTGTATGGGGGCAGTGTGTGTGTATCGGGTAGTGTATGTGTGTAGAATGTGTGTATGGGGGGCAGTGTGTGTATATGAGGCAGTGTATGTGTGTAGAGTGTGTGTATGGGGGCAGGGCAGCATGTGTGTATGGGGGACAGTGTATCGGGTAGTGTATGTGTGTAGAGTGTGTGTGTATGGGGGAGCAGTGTGGGTGTATGGGGGCAGTATAGAGGAATGTGTGTGTATGGGGCAAAGTGTGTGTGTGTATGGGGGGACAGTATATGTATGGGGGCAATATGGGGGCAATGTGTGTGTATGGGGGGCAGTATGTGTGTATAGGGGGCAATGTGTGTATAGGGGCAGTATGGGTGTATGGGGGCAATGTGTGTATAGGGGGCAGTATAGGTGTATGGGGCAATGTGTGTGGGGGCAGTATGGGTGTATGGGGGCAATGTGTGTATAGGGGCAATGTGTGTGTATAGGGGCAGTATGGGGGCAATGTGTGTGTATGGGGGGCAATGTGTGTATAGGGGCAGTATGGGGGAGCAGCAATAGTGTGTGTATAGCAGTGTGGGTGTGTATAGGGGCAGTGTGGGTGTATGGGGGCAGTATGGGTGGCAGTGTGGGTGTATGGGGGCAATGTGTGTGTATAGGGGGCAGTGTGGGTGTATGGGGGCAGTATGGGTGGCAGTGTGGGTGTATGGGGGGGCAATGTGTGTATAGGGGCAGTGGGTGTATGGGGGGCAATGTGTGTGTGTATGGGGGCAGTATGGGTGTATGGGGGGCAATGTGTGTATGGGGGGGCAGTATGGGGCGCAATGTGTGTATAGGGGGGCAGTGTGTGTATGGGGGGGCAGTATGGGTGTATGGGAGGGCAGTATGGGGATCAGTGTATGTGTGTAGAGTGTGTGTGTGTGTGTGATAAGGGTAGGGGGGCTTTTTAAAAAATATATATATTTTTTTTAATTTAGTTTAATAAAAATAATCATTACCACGGCAACGCTCCAAATCTCGCGAGAGTGAACTCAAGCCTGGGAGCGCGGGCTAGAGTTCACTCAAACCACCTGACCACCAGGGAAACGTCCCCCCTCCTCCCCAGTAAAGGTAAGAAGGGAGGGGGGACCACTTTTAGAGCGTTCCAAATGGTGGTTTGGTACACAGACTGGAATAAGTAATGTTATTCACTCTTTACTGGCAATTTCAAGCTTTCTCCACCAGCTCTGAATTCTGAGCCTCTTGAAGCGGTGGTTGTGATTCAAGGGATTGGACGAAGGGCTTTTTTGTAGCAATGTTTTGTCCATCATATGTCCCATGTTTACAGGAAACTGTACAGTGTGCTCCCATCTTTTGTGATTGTGGTCCAGAGTTTATAGGGCGGTCTAGGCACCATAACCACCACATGCCATGTGTTGACTTAGCACCATAACCACGACATGGAATCAGCCAATGATCAACATTAGAATATGGATGAAATTAATATTTCTGATGAAGGTTAAGCATTTTCTCTTTGACTGAACAGGGAGCCAACCAAAAATGGTTTCAACAAGAATCCGGGGAAGGCTGCCTTTTATTCTCCCTATGATTTATCCTCCTCGTGTTTCAGGACACGGTTTATTCAATGAATCCAATCTTCTCTGTCCTGCTCACGTTCCCTATCACACTGCGTTTAGTACTATCAGCAAATATGGAAAATGCACTCACGCAATGAGTGTCATGTTCTTCTTGGAACTGTTAACCTAGTAACTGAAATGTGTATGTTTTTTTTTTTTTTTTAAATGAATCTAGGTGGCTATGACTGCATATTTTAAAGCAGCCACTAGGTGGCACTGCTGTATCATACCTCCTGGTATTATTATTATTTTTAAAGCGCCAACAAGTTCTGTACAATGGGTGGGCAAAAAGACATGTATTTGTAACCAGACGATTTGGACACACAGGAAAAGAGGGTTTGATGGCCCTGCTCAATGAGCTTACATGTTTGAGGGAGTTGAATAAAGTGACACTAAGGGTAGGGTAGAAAAGTAGGTTGCTAGGATAGTATTCACTGAGGGTTAGGTGTTGTTTTGATGACAGTTGCAGGAGAGGAATCGGGGTGCAGGGAGGGAAAGCTGTTCACAGTTTAATTGATACGCTTTCCTAAAGAATTAAGTTTCCAAGATTTTTTGAAGGAGTGGAGATATGGTGAAAGTCTTACAGAGAAGGGAAGGTTGTTCCATAGGAACTGTGCAGTCCTAGAGCAGTCTTTAAGGTGAGCATCAGAGGTAGGAGTATGTACAGAGGTTAGACGTAGGTCTCCGGCAGAGCGTAGGGACCTGGATGGGACATATTTGTGTATTAGTGAGGATAAGTAGGTCAGAGCACCATTGTGTAGAGATTTGTAAACAAGTACCAGGACCTTAAATTGAGTCCTATATCTTACAGGAAGTCAATGTAGGGACTGACAAAGAGGGGACGCGTGGAAGGTGCGGACGGACAGGTAGATGAGCCTCAATGCCGCATTTATTGTAGACTGCAATGGGGCAAGTTGGGAACACGTAAGGCCACTGAGAAGCGGATTACAGTAGTCAAGGCAAGAGAGGACATGGACCAGCACCTTGCCGTATACGGCGTTAAATAGTGTTGGATGCGAGCTATGTTTTTGAGATGGAAGCGGCAGGATTTGGCGATTGATTAGATATGAGAGGTGAACATTATAAATAAATATAACATACCAGGTACATTGTACTATTAAAGGTTGGTGTAACCTCACATGTAAGCGATGGCTAATTCTTCCCAGTTTGTCTTACAGTTTGAGTTGTTTTCAGTCATTAATTCCACTGCATTATTTTTTTCATAGCTTTTTGGTACAAGTGACGTTAATGCTAGTAGAATATGTGCTCTCTAGTATAATGTTATCAGTACGGATTATTATGCCCCTCGATGGGGTTTATTAACCAAGCTTTTTTAATTGCTGCAAATTGAAATCCAAATGGTCGTACTGAGGCTAAACTAGTGGATATGGAAAAACCCTTCAACATCCAACGTCACAGCTTGATATTTTTAGTCTCGACTTTGAAGTACAGTTTTCAGTGGTTGGAAATGTGGTTAATTGTTCTGTCTCTTTATAAAACCTCTGTGCAATGCTTCAGCTCATTACTGTTCACACATTTTCTAGATTTTGGATTTAAAACGCATATACATTTACCAGTTCTTACTTGAATACCTTTGGTAGAAACAAGATTTTCGTATAGGACAAAGTTTCACAGTGTTTTCACTTTGTAGTACAGAATAAAAATACACGTTCCATATCAAAGACAACAAGGAGAATGCAGTGTTTGACATAAACTGTCATTTAAATCCTCAGAAATGATCTCCATTGACGTCACAACAAACATGAGATTGGCAACATCACCCGACATCCCTTCCAATTCCCAGACAGGGAGAACATGGATTCAGTGTTTGCTTTGTCCAATGCAAGGAGAGTGGGCAGGTCATTAGATGGAGCGGTGCTTCACTTAGCATCTACATAAATAACTGCAAGCAGGATTTTATTAAAGACCCGGAGGCTCCTATTATGCTGCTCTCTTTCTTTAATACCCTCAGCAGCAAAGAAACATTATTGAAGAAAAATAAACATTTGAACTAGGTATAACATCATAGTGACAATGTCCGCCTAGTAACATGGCCATCCAATCAGTGTCGTCCTTCCCATATAGTAGGCGGAGCATTGATGACCAATCCCTCTTTCTTTGCTGCTTTCACTCAGATAAGTAGACCTCTCACAGTTCTCTCACTGTGGGATCCTTTAATGTTAATTCTATTCAATATGCTAATTGTACTTCATTGTATTTGATTGTTTTCTTTATATTAACCTACATTCATGGGTACCTTTTACTGGTACTGACTGCATTGTGCCTATAAATAATCTTTCAACCCCTGTTGTATATTTAACTACCTGCACATCTGTTCCAATATTCCACACTGTCATGGCTTGACCCCTTATTCTAACTGCCCTGATATTCAGGGACTTGGCCGGTCTGAGGGTCTGTCCAGGTATCACTTTAATTTCGCCGGCATTTGGCCCGTCCGCGCATGCGCGCCCAGTCAGAACGCCCCCAACGGCCATCTTAAGCTCCGGCTGTAGGTCGCGGTCGGATTTAATTCTGACCGCGCATCCAGCCGCACTACACCTCTCCCTCCCCGTGCGGCGGTGTAACAACGTTACCTTTACCGCAGAAAACCGGCATCCACTTTTACTTTCGGTTCGCTAGCCGCGGTGGCCATCTTTTTGGTTCCCGCCGGCACGACGGCCATTTTCTTCTGCCTTTTTCCCGCCCTTTTACTCTGGAACGCCCACTCCGTCCCTTGATCGGAGTTGGTGTCCAGTATTAGTGGCGGACGGTTCCCCTTTCTCCTGCTCCCCTCCATTATTTTGATAAATAGCTGTAAGTGATTTTACTGATTTAACTTACTGCTTATTGTGTTCTGGTTATTTTCAGCTGGGTTACTTAACCCTGCTCTACAACTCTTACTATTAAATTCATCAAATAACACCTGCACTGTCAGTTACATTGATTGCCAGTTATTTCATTGTTTAAATCCTGCCTGTCAGTTACACTGCACTAATGCAATCTGCTAATGATTTACCTGGTCCCTCAGGGACAACAACTGACCCCCAAACAGCATTGGGTTTTCCCCCTATAGTTTCTGGGGATGACCTGGATTTCCCAGCATCAGAGGATATTCAGGCTATCATGGACACTACTGTGTCCAAGTCTGTCTCTAAAGCCCTGGCATCTGCCATGGACATTATGTCTTCATCTATTTCAAAATCTTTTACCCAGGCACTAAGGCAGGCCCAACGCATGGTCCCTCCGACCGCTATGCCAGTCGCGATACCATCTATTTCCAACCCATCACGTCCCGGCCGCAAAGCCTCGGCAAAAACCAAGCACTCCTCCAATTTAACGATGGACAGTAAAACACCTGTCACAGATGGCGCGAATACTAACCCACCGCGCAAAAGAGCCTCTAGCCGGGCAAAAGCGGCTAGGCATTGGAAGTGGGCTAAAGCCCAACATGATTCCACTGAGTCAGAACTCAGTTCAGATGAGGAGAGTGCCCCAGCCCTAGACTCAGATCAGTCTCACGATTTGTCCGACCTAGATTCGAAATATGACATTGATGAGGTGTGTAATCCCTCTACTAAGATAAATACCACAAGCTCAGAATTGATTAAACAGGGAAAAATCCTTGACCCGCAGGGCAAACCACTGTTTGAGCCGGATGACTTACGTCACCCCCGCTCTGGGGAATAGTCACCAGCTGAGCATGTGGCGCAATATGTCGCCTCACGGGTCCGTAAGCCTCTGGACAAGGCAACACGTAATAAACTGAGGGCTGAATGCCCACGCCCCACCGTACCAGACGAGGTCTGTAAGACACCCCAAGTCGATCCCAAGATCATACAATTTTTAAGCAAGACAGGTTGGAAACCTAAGAAAGGTCTAGACTTTTCGCTTTATAATTGTCAAGACAAAGTCTTGGATATCTTAGGTCCAGCGACCAAATTTTTTTAAGCCGTGGAGGAATCCTTGGCACAAGATGACGCCTTAGATCGCCTCACTATTAGAGGTTGGATTCAGAGGGTGATATGCCTCATAGGCAATGCCAATACCGCTCTGGCTACAGAGCGTCGTAAATCTATTCTAAAAATAGAACCAAAGCTCGTAAATATGGCGATTACTGAGCCAGGAGCCCTAGCAAAAGGGTACCTTTTTGGAGAATCTTTTGTAAAAGACCTGGGATCTTATGTACAAACATTCATGGCCTTAGATAAAGCACAATCAAATCTAAAAAGGGTGTTCCACTAAAAGGTTTTTGGTGGGGCCGGCAGAGCAAGGGGCCGTCTGTCCGGCAGAGTCAACAGAGGCTCGCGCCCGAGCCGAGGCTCCTATGTGGGGAGAACCCCCTTTATTGACCAAAGGTCCGCTCCGACCTTTTTTCCCCAACGAGGCAGACCATGGGTGTCGAGAGGTACACGAGGCGCTCCTTCCGGAAGACGTCCTTACGGTAAGCTACCTTTCTCAATTTTCTACACATGTGGCGATTGGGGGCAGACTCACACATTTTTCCCATGTCTGGGCTCTCATTACCTCAGATGCCTGGATACTCAGGGCTGTCCACGGGTACCTAATAGACTTTATATCCCTTCCCACCCAACGCTCCCCACCCAGGGAGATTGCTTTTTCCCCTCTAGACACGACCCTCGTCTCCGAGGAGGTCCGAGACTTGGCTCTCAAAGGTGCTATTCAAGAAATCCCGATGCATACCCCGGGTTTTGTGAGCAACCTATTTATTGTCCCAAAAAAGGGGGGCGGATCCCGCCCAGTTATCAATCTCAAACACTTAAATACCTACGTAACTTACCATCACTTCAAGATGGAGGGCATTCACTGCCTACGAGATTTGCTCCAACCAGCCGACTGGATGGTCAAACTCGATCTAAGAGACGCGTACCTCACGGTACCCATTGCACAGAGGCACCAAGATTTCCTGCAATTCACGTGGCAAGGAAGGAAATGGCGGTTCCGCTGCCTTCCCTTCGGTCTGTCTTCCGCACCTTGGTGTTTCACCAAGCTAATGAAGCCCGTGATTGCTCTCCTACGCAGTCGGGGGATACGCCTCATCATATATTTAGACGACATCCTGCTGCTATCCCAGTCAGTCTCACTGCTCCATATTCACCTCGGTTGGACCATCCTAGCCCCCACTCAACAAATAGAATTCCTAGGTCTCTTGGTGGACTCAGTTATGCAAACCTTGTATTTACCAACATCCAAAATGAAAAATATCAAGAAAGAGATAAGACGAGTACTTACCTGTCCACGTATATCTCTCAAACATCTGGCCGCGTGATCGGGCTCCTAGCAGCCTCCATACAGGCCATATTCCCGGGCCCCCTTCATTACAGAGCCCTCCAACGCCTACAGGCGTCATACCTGAGAGACGGCGCCTCATACGAGGATACTCTGAATCTAAACGCAGAAGCGAAAGAAGAACTCCACTGGTGGCTCATACACATGGAGGCGTGGAATGGCAAAGCCATCTTCGGCTCGGCCCCAGATGTAGTCATAGAGTCGGACGCGAGCTCTTATGGTTGGGGTGTGCGCTGCGGAGATATTTCCACAGGCGGACGCGGGTCGGAGGCGGAGTCCACACTGCATATAAATTGCCTGGAACTCCTCGCAGGGTCCTTTGCAATTCGCAGCCTCTCCCCGACACTGTCCCAATGCTCAATCTTACTGAAGATGGACTCCCGCCATCTGCGGGATTCCAGCGATTGGCACCTCGATCCCCAAATCTTCCAGCACATTTGGGATCTGTGGGGCCCTCTGGCAATAGACTTGTTTGCCTCTCGTTTGAACACCCAACTTCCGACCTTCTTCAGTTGGAGGCCAGACCCCAAGGCTTCGGCTACGAATGCTTTCTCCCAAGACTGGTCAACCGCCAGGAACTATGCTTTCCCTCCTTTCGCACTCATTCCTTTATGTCTTCTCCACCTACGGCGCCAATTGGGCTGCTTGGTGATAATAACCCCCCTTATGGCCGTCGCAGCCCTGGTTCCCTCCTCTTCTGGAGATGGCCATAGATCACCCGTGGCTCCTCCCGGATGCCCAATCTCTACTACGAGACCCCGATGCGAACCCCCACCCCATGATCCGTCAGGGGCTCCTCCGCCTCATGGCGTGGCTGATTTCCGGGGACCCTGGTCGATCGAGGGAGTTTCGCAATCGACTCTCCGACTTCTCGAGGGCGCATGGGCACCCGGCACGAGACAGTCTTACAAGTCTGCTTGGCGCACATGGGATGGTTGGTGCATGGCACGGGGTTTGGATCCCCTATCAACTCCTGTGACAACAGTCCTGCAATTCTTAACATCCCTTTATGACGACGGGAAGGCTTACAGGACAGTAAACCTCTAACGCTCAGCCATATCGGCCGGCCATACCGGCATTGATGGGGCCCCGATAGGACGACACCCAATTGTCTGTCGTCTTCTCCGAGGCATTCGCTTTGCAAGGCCACCCCACCCTCGCTATTCCTCCCTATGGGACGTCTCCCTAGTATTGAATTTCTTGACACGGTGGCCAGACAACGAGTCTTTATCCTTGAAACAACTATCAGCTAAACTAGTTATGCTGTTATGCCTAATCTCATGCAAGAGAGTGTCAGACGTTAGAGCACTCGATGTCAATGCCCGACCCTTCTCACCAGAAGGAGTAGTCTTTGACATCTCACGGAGGACGAAATTGTCATCTCGGACGGTCCTGTACCCAGCGTTTCATGCGAAGCCGCTCCTTTGCCCGGTAGCGTGCCTTCGGGCGTACGAAGCCCGTACCGCACCCCTTCGGACTGGGTCAGACCCCCAACTCTTCATCTCCTTCCGTAAACCGCATGCTCCGGTTTCCTCTCCAACCTTGGCCCGCTGGGTGAAATGGCTCATGTCTTTGGCAGGTATTGACACCTCCATTTTCTCTCCCCATTCGGTTCGCGGTGCCATGGCCTCTAAAGCCTCCTTTGCTGGTTGTCGTTTAGAGGATATATTGAAGGCGGCTGATTGGTCCGCGGAATCTACCTTCCGTAATTTCTATTTCAAACCAATCCAGCATTTTGCAGAAGCCGTGATATCACAGCTTTGAAATAGCATAATAGGAGCCTCTGGGTCTTTAATAAAATTCGAGGATTTTACAATTATCATGACGGAAAGTCATGATTTTATTAAAGGACCACTCTAGGCACCCAGACCACTTCAGCTTAATGAAGTGGTCTGGGTGCCAGGTCCTTCTAGGGTTAACCCATTTTTTCATAATTATAGCAGTTTCAGAGAAACTGCTATAATTATGAATGGGTTAAGCCTTCCCCCTAATCCTCTAGTGGCTGTCTCATTGACAGCCACTAGAGGCGCTTGCGTGCTTCTCACTGTGATTTTCATTGTAAATGCTTTCCTATGCGACGGGCTGAATGCGCGCGCAGCTCTTGCCGCGCGTGCGCATTCAGCCGGCGGGGAGGATCGGAGGCGGAGAGAAGGAGGAGAGCTCCCCGCCCAGCGCTGGAAAAAGGTAAGTTATAACCCCTTTCCCCCTTCCAGAGCCGGGCGGGAGGGGGTCCCTGAGGGTGGGGGCACCCTCAGGGCACTATAGTGCCAGGAAA